GCCTAATGCCTTGAGCATCTCAGGGCGGATTTCGTCAATTCCGGCAGCTTTTCCATTTTTCAAGCCTTTCACAGCCTCTGCAATTTCATCTACAGAGATAGTAATATCCGTACCCTCTGTTCTACAGGCGAGTCCTCCTGCAGTTGCGCGGGGTTAAGGGGTTCCTCGAAGTACTCTCGCCATCGCTGAAGAATGTCATCATCCTTGGTAAGAGGGTGTCCAGACCTTCCTTCAAGACTCTGAGACTGCCCTTCTTTTCACCTCGAAGCCGGCGGATGGTCTGCCAGAATACTTTGTTTGCCGTGTCGGAATTCGACTCCAACACCTCACCAGACTTCTCCCAGGAATCAGCTTTGGCTTTTGCCACTGCTATGGCTGCCGCCTTGAGTGCCTCGACATATCGCACGCGAGTAGGTGAAATATTTTTTTATGGATTAGTCTGGTGAATACTTTGGAGTGGAGGAGCTTTGCTCGATCAGGGCTAATTGTTTAGATCATGTTGGCTTTCCTAAGACTTTTGTCACGACAAAGGTTTGATCTCGTTTGAACCTCGGTTTTGTGACGATCTCTATCTGAGGAAAACATTCATTTCAAATAAACTTTCCTCTGAAAGTGACTTACATTTCAGAAGATTTCCTTTTGTTGATTGCTCTCTTTAAAAACTGCATTATTCAGGTCGGTTTTACGGCTGGAACATGGGAACCTTGATTTTTAAAGAAACGGTGTTCTCGATGTTTCGCATCTGCGTTCTTTGTAAGCTAGATAGTTTAGTTTGTATTTGGTTGACAATTTCTGTTATCATCCGTATAGCTATCTTTATTATCAGCACTTCCCCTCCCCCTTTTAAAGAATCCTTGCGCTGCAGCTCGATTGTATCCGCCGACCGTGCCGCCTAATGGCTTCTGTTCAAGCGCTAATAACATCCAGATTAGTACCAGTAACTTGTTTGGTCTTTACTCTTTAATACTTGTGTATGAAATTGATATAGGTCATTCAGAATTATCATTTGATTTACATAGTGTCTTTAGGGATGCGACGGGGAATGTGTTCGATTTGTTCAACGGCACTATCGTATGTAACTCAACCGAAAACTGTCCATACGGCCTGATTCACTACTACCAGGTTAATTGTCGTTTTTTCTCCGCATGAACCGACCTCTTTGACCTTATTTTGTTCAGATTTTGGAATTGGAAGGCGCTTGGGGTCCGCTGATCACCGCTGGCATTTTGGCTGCCACGTTGAGTTCCGCTTTGGCCGGCTTCGTTGCTGCCCCGAAGGTCTTTCAGGTACCTGGACTACTGGACGTCGTCGCTTGGTTGACCAACGATTTACGCAAAGCTTTCAGGCCGTTTGTAAAGACAATCTTTTCCCGTATATCTCTTGGTTCGGAAAGGGATTTGGCAAGGACGAAGAGCCTCGTCGCGCATACGTCCTTACGTTCGTTCTCACCGTCGGTCTCGTACTCATAGGTAGGGTGATGATGCTGATGTTTTCGAATGATAAATGAGTGAACAGGTGAATGTTTGAGCGAATGAATGAATTGTTGCAGAGAAGTGATTTGGACAGTGTTTAAGTTCAGCACGTTGGGATGTCCTGCTTACGGCAGTGCGTTTGTTAAGAATTTGCGTGTTCTACAAAGTTTTGCTGTTTGGCACAGTGATGTTCTTCCTCAGCTCCATTTTGCACTACCTAACTTGAAATGTTCGTTCTTTATTCGCTGATTATTCTTGCAACCGAAATTCGCATTTAACTGGCACTCGACAAAATACAGTGGTTTATTTCCGCGAAACTTGTGTGATTAATTCCATAGTCTCAGATTCTGACTGTTAGAATTCATGATAAAATTTTGCATTATGGAGGTTAAAGGTGCTTTGGCACAGTGGCACTTCGAGCACCAGAGAAATCGCTGTCTTAACTTCGAATCCTCTTGAGTAAAGAATTTACCTTACGTTGCTTCAGTGTAGTCAGCTGTGAACTGGGTCACAGATCGTTGACTTCCAAATATCAATGACGACATGGTATTGTTGTGTGAACGTGCCAGAATGGACACGTTTTGACCAACTTAACAGTTGACTATTCAGTTATGTAATCAGTACAAGGTTTAATCACTATTGTTATTAATTTTTGGAAACAAAACTGTTCCTGATCCTGAGCCAAAAATATAACTTATGTTGAATTTGCTGATTTATGGTTCATGGATCCATTCGCAACAAGCGTCCTTGAGCCAAGTATCTTTGATTGTTCAGCAACAAGGTTCATTGACATGATTGGAAATAGTTTTGTTTCAGATATAAT